TGGAAATCAAGGAGGAGACGGCCGACGGAGCCAACACGGCAGAACGTGTGGGGTCGTTTCTGCTGGCGTTGGTCCGCTCGGCAACCCTGCCCTTCGATCCGGGAGCCACCTATGCCGCTGGTCAGTACATGATGTACGCCAATGCGGTCTGGCGCTCGATGGACACCATTGCCATTGGTGAATCACCCGCCCTGGCACCCGGCAAATGGCGGCTACTGAGTGGGCTCATCAGTCTGGATGTGGCCCTGAAGAACGGAGCCAATTCGCAGGTACTGCCCATGTTCGAGGGTGGACTGGCGGCCGTGCTTCCGGCCAAATCGGATGGCTTGACCCTCTACAATGTGATGGTCGGTCCCGATGGGACATTTTACGCGGATGTGCCGGTTGTCATGGAGCCGGATCCGGGCTATAACTTCTCAACCCGGGTGCATTACGAGGCCGTGCCTGAGGTGGCCCAGCTCACGTTTGAATTCAATACCCGGGTTCACTTCGAAGCGGTTCCGGCCGTGATCAATGCGAACACCCCGCCCCTTTTGAGCAACCCCTCGCCGGATATCGAGTTTACGTCGTTCGGTACCAGCGTCAAAACCCTGCCAGCCGATGAGTTTGTGGATCCGGGCGATACCTTCACCCGGACGGCCATCGTCGTATCGGGCGGTGTGAATGGGGTTCGTTCGGAGTTGCCGCCATTCCTCTCCTTCGATGGCGCTACGGGGGCGCTGACGGCCACACTGGATCCGAGCATCGACAATTACAGCTTTGTGCTCATGGTTGAGTGTACGGATTCGCTTGGCCAAAAAGCCGATCCTGACCTGATCCTCATCAGCGTCAATGTTCCCCGAACGTCAGGCAATCCGGCGCCTACCATCGTGAATCGGCAGGGCGATGTGGTGATCACCACGGCAGGTGATTACGTAATCAGTCTGCCCGGCAACGAATTCGCCGACAATGCGGGCGATCCGGGTTACACCGTCTCCAAAAAATGGGACCGGGCCACGGGTACCGAACAGCCCTTTCTGCCAACGGGGGTCACGGCCAACGAAGGCACGCGCAAGATCACGGTTTCCGGTTCGGTACCGAACCAGCAGTTCTCGATTCTACGCCGGTATGTCGACAGTGCCGAACAGGCGATCTGGTACGCTTTCGATGTGATTGTCGCCCGGCCTGTCGCGTTGGTACGGATCGACCGAATGGCGGTCTACCTGCCCTTGGGCTGGCACGGAGTATACTTTGGTAATCTCTCCGAAAATATCGTCCTGCTGGTGAATGTTGTGGGGGGATCCTCCTCTACCCCGGTTTATGCCAGGTATCCACAGAGTCGAAACGATTCCACGTTTGGGTCGATGCAGCTACTGGATTACGCCAATAATCCCGGGCCGAATGTACTACCCGACGGCTTTACGCACTATGCCCTGTTCAACGATGAGGTCTTCAGTACGGGCCTAAAAACGTTCCAGGCCAAAATCAACAACGTGGCAGGCTCCACCGTCGAGGCCAGCGTCCTGATCAACGCCAACAGTGCCGAGCATACGACTACTCAGATTTTCCCCACAACCAACTAATATGGATGCATACATACGAGTACCGGCATCGGATGGCAGTTACGGGTATTGGCCTTACGATGGGTCACAGATGACCGATACCCAGGCCAATACCGCTTTTAGCGCAGCGCTGGCCGCAGCGGCTACCTTAGCGGCCAAAAATGCGCTACTGCTTCGCACGCAACCTGCCCTGAAGCCGGGTTTTTCGGGCTGGAAAGTACGAAGCAGTGCGACGAACGTTGAGGCTGCTCAGTACGGCTATCCGCGCACGCTTTTGGGTACCCACAACGGATTCAACGTCTACGCGGGCACGGGCCTTAATCACCTCATCGAGCAGTATGGCACAAGCCCTGATCAGTTTGCGCCTAAAGGAGTGAACCTGGCCGGCATCGTGCTGGCAGCGGGGGCGGTCATTCCGCAGGGTATTCAGACCGACTTCTATGGTCAGTCGCCACCGCCCAACTTCCTCAAGCCTGCCGGGTATCGCAAACGCTACTTTGGCGGCAAAGCCGATCAGCCGTATTACGAACTCTCGGACGAGGCTGATGAAACGCCAACCACGGTGGTGACGCCAATCGATCCCGGCACTACTGACCCCGGTACTACGCAGAATTACAGTACAAAGGGTGATCTGGTAAAATACATTCAAGCCTAAACCAATTTTATTATGCCACAGAATTATGAGGTTCGACGCGTAAATGGGGTTTTAACCTATTTTCCAGAAACCATAGCCGATTCAGGCGAATACGATGGTACGCCCACGACCACGATGCCAACGGGTGCGGTAACGATAAGGGTTTGTTCAACGATTCGAAAAGCCTGGACGCCCGAAGTGCTGAAACGTACCTGGGGCTGGG